GGGGGAGGGGTGGTCATGTCCATTACAGGGACCGTATCCCTATATCAATGCTGCATCATAGAAGTGCAATGTAACATGCTGACATTTATTACCTGTGAATCCCGGCTTGCAGACACATTCGTATTTGTTGATTCCGTCTTCACACTCGCCGTAGTCACAAGGGTTGCTGGCACAGTCATCATAATTGTACTCGCAGTTCACACCTGACAAGAAAAAAACATTTGGGCTTATATTGAAATGCTCTCAACTATTGATGATGATGATTATTGCTCCAAAATATCAGAGCGGAACCCAACTTAAAACTGATCTCCTCAGCCATACCCCATATGGTAGGGGACTCCCTCGTCTGATGGGATTTAATGTACATATGTCTCTCCTGTGACCTTAAAGTGAACCTGTCAGCAGTTTATAAACATTTAAAAAGGTAAAGTCCTGCCGAAGGACTAAGAAAAAGCTTCTCCGAGTACCTCTCTGAAAATAGTTTTACTTGTTTTTATTAGGCCTGACTTCAAGAATAATCCATGCCAACACTGGCCACCGAGACAGTCTGGTAGTAGGCGGGTTTATCCTGGGCTGGCCTAGGTTTTTTTGTCTTTGCCAGGCTCCAATCCTCCTGTAGGTGGCAATATATCCTGAAAGTTGAAGAGTTCCTCTGCCCCTCAATGGACAGGAAAGAAAACTAGTTTCAGAGAGGCAGAGGGCAGTTTTCTCGCTAAAAAGAATGACAGCAGGCATCTTCTGCTATCTGCCATGAGGCAAAATCATTAACTTTAAAAGTCTAGCAATAGTTGACAGCATACTTGTAAGATGGCTGCAGACGTCAGATAGCCAGCACACAAGATATGAAGGTCAAGAGATCATATTGTGAAATGTGTTCCTGTAAAGCAAACTGGACCTGACCAGTCTTAAATTCAATCTCTGTGTCCCGTAGGAGCATCTTAGGCTTAAAGTGACATTAAACCCTCAGATTTTTTTAACATAAACCAATAGTGTAATGTGCGCCTTACTGTAATCCATGGTTGTTTCCCTTCTCTTTGCTGCTCTTCCTTTTAAATCTGTATCTGTTCTCATGCTGGGCAGAACTTCTGTTTTGCAGCAGACTGCCTTGTCTCTGGAATGGATACCCGGTGTCTGTGTGTACGTTTGCAACCTGAGCCAGCACTACAGGAAGAGGCACTCAGCTGCAAAGGGAAGTTCTCCCCAAGCATGAGAAGACATGAGGATTTAAAAAGAGCAGCAAAGAGAAGGGAAACAACCATGGATTACAGTAAGGCGCACATTACAGTATTGTTTTATGTTAAAAAATCTGAGGGTTTAATATCACTTTAAGACTGTGTACAGGACCTAGATGCTTCTTCAAGTTCTGTCTAAACCCTACCCCCTCCTGGTGCGAAGCATCACCGCCCTCCCTCATCTGTCAACTGACAGAACCTCTACTAATCACTATGGTTTGGACATTTACCGTATTTCGCGCTCTATAAGGCGCACCGGACCATAGGACGCAGGGAGGGTAGGAGTCTGTAATAGCTGCAGTTAGTGACCGCTGAGACAGGTGGCGCTGTGATTACAGCGCCACGGTCTCAGTAATCACAAAGAGCAGACGAAGAACGGACGTTCTTTGTCTGCTCTACTAGCTCTATTGTGAGCTCCTATGTCGTGGTCACGGGTCCCCGGTAAACCACGGCGGGGGGCGCACACAATCGCCGCCGCTCGATTTGATGCAAGTGATCTGATTAGATCACTTGTATTAAACGAGCAGCGGCTCCCACTGTACATTCAGCTCTGCTCGTCAGGAGCAGGGCTGAATGTACAAAAAAACTACTCGCCCAGCGCCCGAAACTGCATGTCCCGGGTGTCGGGCGAGAGGGATTTGCTCCCTAAGACGCACGCACATTTTTGCCCCCCTTTTGGGGGGAAAAAAAGTGCGTCTTATGGAGCGAAAAATACGGTACAGCTGAATAAAAGTAGAAGCATCTACTGGGGGCTCTACAAGGACACAGGGGGTCACCTTTAAGGCCAGGCAGGCACCTCATCGACACTACTTTTATCTTTTCGTACTAGGCCAGGACCGCTTTAACAAGGAAACTCCAATTGTACAAGTCAAGGCCTATGAAGTTGGCAGAAGATCAGTCACATATCCTCCAATATTGGTCTTACCGCAACAGGACCAACAGTTGGCTAAATAAAGGCCACATAAGTTAGCAGACCAGACTTCCTTTCCCATATAAACAGAGGGTGGTATCTGTTGCTACCAACAGGTTGTAGATGGATCAGCTCTAGTCTATGGCTATCATCAGAACAGATGTCCCCTAATACTGGTCTTATTAGAACATGGCCAAAGGTTGGCCAAAAATGAAAGCCTGCACAATTTGACAGGTTAGTACTTCCTTCCCCATATGAAGGAAAGGAGGTATCTGCTGTTACCCACATGCATAAAGGTTGAATCAGATGTCCGCTTTTCTATAGGTGTCCTCAGACCAACAGACATAGACCTTCTCTAGGCAATCTTCGCTACATGCCACCTCTATATAAAGTAATGCCATTCACACCTCCGAGCTAATTAGGAGAACACTACAGGACATAAAATATTGTAGGCTCACCTGAGGTTCCTGGTTGACAGTAGCACAAGTATTTGTTGACCAGGTCAATACATTTTCCTCCATGTAGACACGGGTTACTTTGGCATTCGTTTATCTGGTTCTCACAGCGATAGCCAGTGTATCCAGGGTCACATGTGCAAGTGAAGCTGGCAATGCCATCCCGGCACTTCCCATGGTGGCACGGGTCAGGAGAACATTCATTTATGTTACGCTCACAAAGAGTACCCTCAAAGCCTGCAAAGAGAGATCCAAGAACAGTTAAAGGACAAGTGATGGAAGAAAAGATGGCAGCTATATGGTGGAAGGAGGCAGAAACAAGCAAAAACATGCCAATATGGAAGAGCCAAAACAGCAGATGTCTTTGGATGAGCCAATAGCTGAGGAGGGCCATGGAGGAGCTGAAAACCAAGCATGGGGCTAAAAGATGAGCATGGCCACTGGGGAAACCCTAGCCAGGCAAAGCAGAAGATGGAGCATGAAGCACGGCACACTGCACCAGCTAAGCTGGAGGGAGGGCTGGGAGGAAGCGAGTTGCAGGCAGATGGAGGCAGGTGGAAATCTACAGACAAGACTTACCTCCCTGAACATATAAAGAGACATCCAGAGAGCGTGAGAGAGAACAGGATACAGCATCAGAGACAGACCCCAGGAGTAAGGCCACCCTCAGTCAGATAACCTGCAGCGAAGAACTCACCCTCCGCACAACGACACTCGTAACCGTTGGGTCTATCCACACACTTGGCTCCGTTCTTACAGGGAGTGCTGGCACACTCATCAATGTCAATCTGGCACATGGAGCCTGAGAAACCTGAAGATGATGCATGATTAAATACACTTACACCAAAGGCCTTCACCTTTACATTACATGCAATGGTACATTTAGATTTTTATCAGAAGTCATGATCAAGGAGTGAAGATTTCCTTTTTGTTTTGGATAGAGCAGGAAAGGGATGGGTTCTTTCTTTTGCCATGTCCCACTGGGGAAATTTCCCTTCATCTACCCCCTTGTAAAATTTTCCATTCGATTTCCCATCACTTTCTGCCCTGGTGACAGCGGTCAGAAGGAAAAAATAGAGAGAGTGAACCTCCCCGGACAGAGAGCCTTACCCCTCACCACTCAATCCAAAAACGTTTTCTTGGTCTCAGCTGCGGGCTTATTTGTAGAAATGATTTGGGCGGCTTTGAATTCTACATGTACTGTAAGGTAGTCAATGGCTACAGGGTCTCTGGTTTTAGAAAATCTGTTTTTTGGGGTTTAGGTAATCTTCAGGCCTAAAATGTTCATGAATGTGCAAAATGTGCCGATACAGAGTACCGATACCGGTGCTTCCGCTGGCATGGAGATGGCTTCCCAGGCAATCAGGAAGCCAGGCGGCAGGTAAGTACATGTCCCCCCGGCTTCCTGATTGCCCGACTCGATTGTGATTGGCTGGGAAACCGGCTTTCCAGTCAAATCAGCATCGAGCAAGCTTCCCGGGCCAATCAGGAAGCAAGGCGGCGAGTAATGACCAGCCTCCCGGTTTCCTGATTGACTGGAAAGCCTGCTTTCCAGCCAATCAGGAAGTGGGGAGTCGGGTCATTACTCGCCACCCTAATTTCTGATTGCCTGGGAACGCGGCTCCATGTTCCCCTGCGGCACTGCCGTCAGAGGAAATCTTCCTCTGACCGGAAGTTCCGGTATCGGGGAATTCTTCCTCTGACCGGAAGTTCCGGTATCGGGGAAGGTATCGGAGCATTTGGGCGAGTACGATTACTCGCCCAAATATTTGGTATCGGCACCGATACATCCCTAGATGGTATCAAAATATGGCAAAACGTAGTGCAACGTGCAGCATAGTGGCTTCGTGGATAGAACCTCTAGCTTTCAGGACTGGGGGGTCCCCGGTTCAAATCCTGGTCAGGACACTAACTGCATGGAGTTTGCATGTTCTCCCGGTGCTTGTGTGGGTTTCCTCCTGGTACTCCGGTTTCCTCCCACACTCCAAAGTGACTCCTGTCTAAATCGGCCCTGTATATATGCATGTGAGATGGGGACCTTAGATTGTAAGCTCCTCTAAGGCAGGGACCGATATGAATGAACGCTGTGTAAACTGTCAGCGCTATAGAAACACCTATAATAATTGTGAATGAATTTTATGGAATAGAAGTTTGCTTACCAGCAGGACAGCTGCAGGTAAATCCATTGACCATATCCTTACAATTGCCTCCATTCACACATGGACTGCTGTCGCATTCGTTAATGTTCAGCTCACAGAATGTACCAGTAAAGCCTGAGTAGGGGAGGACGACAAGAGATTAAAAACTCACATATTGGAAGATATACTGACAATACACATCATTCACTGATGTAACCTCAGATGGAGAAACTTACCTGCCATACAAATACAGGTGAATTCCCCAATTCGGTCCAGGCAGGTTGCATCGTTCTGGCAGGGGGTGGACAAGCACTCATTGACATCGGTTTCACATCGAGGACCAGTGTAACCCCGACCACATTGGCACTGGAAAGAACCCTGAGTGTTCACACAACGACCAAAGTGCTCACAAGGGTTGGCACCTGCAGAGAGGAACAGAAATCCTTAAATGTCACTATATTCAGAGATAAACTACAGCTGAAATAAAAACATTTTAAAGGACCAGTAAAAGTAAAGTAAAGTTAAAAAAAAAAAAAAAAAAAAAAAAAA